TTTTCAGCCTGGACTTTCAAAATATGGTGTTTAGCTTCCTTGCGAAGATCATCACAAGCGTTGACGAAATCTGATTGGATCTCTGCATTTAACAGCTCTGCAATTTTATCATGATTAGTAGATTTCATTTTAGTTCCAAACATGAGTTCGAATGGAGTTGTGTTGATACTCCATTCGTATGTTGAATTGATCACTTGCTGAACTTCACCGACGTGTGTATACCATTTTGACGGATTTTGAATCGATAATTCGGAAAGAACAGAAATTATGACAGAATTCAATCTTTCATTTGTCCACTGGCACGAGGCAGTCCTGTAGTAATTAGAATGCGCTGTATATTGTTGGTTGAACAATAATCTTGAAAATCTTTTGATGTAAATGCTGAGCCTTTATCTGAAATTATACGCGAAGGATTTCCAAAGACAAATTTTTGATTTTCCAATTTAGATATTACTTCAGCGCTATCAGTAGATTTTGTCGGGTAAAGCCATACAAACTTTGTGAAAGAATCAATTTTATCTTTAAGTTTAGGAACATAAAATTCTTGTTTGACAAGTTCTTCAGTTCGTTTAGAAGTGAAATGTCCACGAAAATGTGTGTCCTTAATTATGTCACTCTGCATTGATTCTGGAACAAGTAATTCCTTACCATCTACAAATTTATAAAGTATATCAGCTTTAACACAATAGTCATCATAAGGTTTAACTTTTAAGACTTCTTTGATAGCTCGGATGTGATCATTTATTATGCTGTTGAGCCTTTCGTATTTTCAAAATGATGCATCAACATGTGTCATTCGTGCTACAGTTCTGTGTTCTATTTCGTAGTCGAAATCTTCTAACATCAATGCCAAACATGCTATTCGTGTATTTAAGTCTTTCTTGTTCATTATCATTTTGAACGCATTACAGTCAGTGATAATTTTGAAGTGTTTTCCTAAAAGATAAACTCTAAATTTTCTCAAAGCTTGAATTACAGCTAATACCTCAAGTTCGTAACTGGTGAATTTCTTTTCCACATCAGATGTCTTTTTACTCATGTAATAAATAGGATGTAGGCAATTATCAATCATAGATCTTTGCATGAGTATGCTACCATACCCATGGATACTGGCATCAGTGTGTATTTCGGTATCACTGCGCTGATTATAGATGCTGAGTACGGGTTTTTCACATAAACGTTGTTTCAAAGGATTGAAAGCTTGTCACCAAATTCATTATCTTTCTTAAGGAGATCAGTTAATGGTTGAGCAATTATGGAAAAATTGAAAATAAATTTACGAAAATATCCTGTAAGACCAAGGAAACTTTGTAAGTCTTTGTGACTTTTAAGTTCAGGATAATTAATAACAGCGGCTGTTTTAAGAGGAGATGGGAACAGTTGATCATTTTCGATGACATGACCAAGGAATTCAATTCTATGACTTAAAAAATTAAATTTCTTAAAATTAAATTTTTAAATTTAAATTTTTAAGTCATAAAAATAATAAAAATTAAAATAATTTTTCGAGTCCATAAGCAGATGCAACTGAGAAAACGGATTTTAAATGCTGAATCTTCATCTTTAGCAGAAATTATAATATCATCTAGATACAGTAAAACATGACCTTGCAAGATTAAATCTTTGAAAACAGAATTTACAAATCTTTAAAATACAGAAGGAAAAGTGCAGAGACCAAAAGGTACATGTAGAAACTGATATTGCCCATTATGTGTAACAAATGAAGTGTAATGTCGGCTGTGTTTGTCGACACTAACATGGAAGAAAGCATTTTTTAAATCGATTGTAGTGAATGTACGAGCATCTTGTAGTTTATCTAATAAGTCTTCTATTAAGGGTAAGGGATACCGATCTTTAACTATTTTCTTGTTTAATTTCCGATAGTCAATACAAACTTTTTTTTTTCGTACTACTACAACTTGACTAGAATATTCCGAAAAACAAGGTTCAATTATTTTTAACCAAGTTTGAATTTGCTTGTCTACAATGTCTCTTTCAACAAAAGGTAATCATCCATGTCTATGAAAAATAGGTGTTTTATCTTTTACTTGAATAGTCATCTCAATGTTCGTAGTTTTGGTTTTAAAAGGACTGTAATCGAAGAAAAGATTTTCAATAACTTGTTCTTTTGTAGCAGTAAGACCTATTTCTAGTTCAAATATTTGATTAAAGGAATTATTATTGATGTACACATCTTCCGGATCATTTTCTTTACCAACATGTTTAGAAATATGAACACCATCTTTGTTTATATTAACTTCACCTTGTTTAAGAATACCCGTGCCAATTATAGCATCAAATGGCATTACATTACTGTCTACAACATAAACATTAGTTGTAAATAATTCTGTATCTATTAAAATATCAGATGTAAAATAACCTATTGGTTTAATTTTGCCATTACCAAAGCCAGTGAGCATATTATGAAACACACTTAAAGCAGAATTTTTCTTCAGATGTTGAAGTGTTGTTTTTAACAATTTGCTTCAGAGTTTTCTTAACACAGGTAAAGGATTTATGACCGAAATTTCCACGAGATAAACATTTGGGTCCGTGATGTTTGTCAGGGCAAAATTTAAATAAATGACCAAATCCATTACAATTATAACATTTCGATGACTGGTAATTACTGGAATTTGCCGAGAAAACTTTTCCGTCACGTAAAGCTAAAAATGTAGATTCACAAGATTGAACTTCGCATTTTAAAAAAGAAAGAAAGTCAGATATTGTTACATCGCATTTTGAACAAGTGTTTCGCTTAAAATCTAAAACAAGATTTTCTGGCAATAAATTGAGAACAATTGAAATCAAAAGTTGACCATAGGATTTTCAATCCTCTTGCAGTGAATTTAAATTCTGTATAGCGATATTGAGCTCATCATATAACTTTCTCAAAGCTGGAACATTTGAAGAATTTTTAACACTTTGCAAGTTTAAAAGTTTACTCATGCAAGAATCAATGATGATATCTTTTTGATCAAAACAATCTTTAAGTAACTTTACACAGTCATCATAATATTTATCAGTTAATTGAAAACCAGATACTACACTTAAAGCTCCTCCAGTCAAGTATGTTTTTAAATAGGCAAACTTCTCAATTTTCGAAAGTGAATCATTTCGATCGATAATGGTTTCTAATGAATTCCAGAATTCATTCCACACTTTCGGATCTCCTGAATACGGTTTGATTGTTAACTTAGGAAGTTTAACTGAAGAGGGTAAATTTAAACTATCATTCGGAGTACTTAACAGTTTTTCAAATGTCGACGAGTTAGTAAAACTCTCTGTCCGTTTCAATAAACATTTAAATTTGTTAGTATACCTGAGGCATTTTTCTTGGTAATCAGTAAGAGTGTTTACTTCTTCCTCAATTAAGTTTACATCAATAAAATGTTCAATTTGACTATCTAAGGACTTTAGTTTATTCTTTTTTCTATTAAAACTTCTAGATGTTCGTCTAAGATATCACATGTAATATTTTCATCTGCTAAAGCAACATCAATTCTTGAAATTAGTTTAGTAATACTGCTTCTTTCAAAACTATGCTTTCGTTTTAACTTTTCAAAATTTTCTTCTGAATGTTTCTTACTTGAAACAATTATACAGTCATAATGAAATTGATAAATGTTAATTGCTCAACTGTAATCCTTACGAAAATAGGCTAACTTTATAAATCCAGATGGGATGGTAATCAGGATATAGCACAGGTGATCTAACTTAATCCACTTATGGGCATGGAATCGAAAATTCTGACACCAAAATATGGGAAAGGATTGATGATAAGCATTGTTAAAACATTTTTGGACACGTCTGTCCTCACTATCGTTCACGTCTCATCTCGTCTGACCACACCCTAATCTAGATGGAGCTCTTACATAATTTTAGTTACAGTTACAGTTCCCACACATTTTCCTAACGTAAAATAAATTAAATATGTACTTCTACTCCTACATTTATTTCTTATTTTATGAACGAAATACAACTTTATTTATTTTAAGATGTCTTACTTTTAACTAAATAATGCACATTTTAAAAATAACTAAATTATGCACATTTAGTGTGTTTTTCGTTTTACATAGCAAAATTCAAGATTTCGATTTGCACGGTTTTGTGCGGAACCTATCTTCCATGTAAATCGAGGAACAGGTGTGCACAATTATTAATTAACATGAAATCAAATATAAATATATCAATAAAAATACAAAATAAATAAATTAATCACCATAAGTAATTAAAAAATGAAATAAAAGTGCTCATTTTATTTGGGGTTCCAACTGAAATTATTACCAATATTACTTATCATTATTAAAACTGAGGAGTACCACAGCTAGGCTCCAACTGAATTTAAGTTCTGGTTCAAAGAAATGTTTAATAAAACAAAATAATTGTTAACAATGAGTTTTTTTTTCCTTTTGTGTGTGTGCGCAAACACGTGTCAATTTTTGTTCCTTAAATGACCTGAAGCTTTACTATTTCTAAAATACCCACTTCATATTTTTAATTTTATCTACATTATATTAATAGATTTGAATAACTGATCTAAAATTCTAAAATCCAGAATTTGGAATTGCCAAAGTGCAAAAGATTCTGGACCTCACTCAGACTTTAAATATTTTAAAGTTACTAAATGGAAAAGTCTGGTTAAATGAAGAGTGCAGTGGAAGAATGTTCTAAGGAAGTTACAGCCTACTTTTAACTGTCCTGCCAATAGGAAAAAAAAAAAAAAATGTAAAAAAGTAGAATTTGCTTGGTCCCTTTCTAATAATTAATATGTATTTCAAATTAAGTATAAATTTCAAATAACAAACAAAGTATTTCCTTGTAGATAAATTTATACAATATGTTGAATTACCAAAAAGAGATCTACTCTCTGTAACAGAGTAGAATGTAGAATGTAGAATAACACAGTGATCCAATAATGAAGGATTATTTAAAGCATATGGAGCTTCTATTATTATTATAATAATTATTTTTTTATAATTATTTACTTTGATACTTACTCTTTTAGAACTGTTCATTGCTTGATATCTACTAATATTAACTGAAGATGGAATACTTTCTCGCACTTGCTTATCAAAGTTTGCAGAATTTTCAATCATGTTTTGTACACTTTTATTTAGTCTACCTGTAGAGTCTGATAGAGGTTGCCGAGTCTCGGAATGCTTAGAGGAGAAAAAATCTGTTCGTTCTGCCAAACCAAAATCAACCAGAATGTAACTGTAATAATAAATAAATAAAAACTGCTTTTAAAAAGAAAAGTACTCAATATAAATTAACTGTTAAGTGAGATACCAAACTTTATGCTTAATTACACATAGAAAAATTCTACATTTTCATAATAATGCTTAAATTCAGTAACTTTACTACAAATGGCACAAAAAACAACCTAAAAAGAGTTTTAAAAATTGCAATATATTAAATCTTATTAAGCATGGAAAGAAAGTACAAAAAGAGATTGAATTCAAGACATAAAACAGTTTATATATAAGTAATGTTACCAGATAATATATACACTGTATGGTAAACAGTATCAGATGGCTAGGTATTACTAGAAATGCACGATACGCTCCACAATCCACTGAAAGAACCAATGTTGTTAACTGAACGAATGATCAGCACTCCAGCGAAAATGGAATGGCAGTTCTTTAAGTTCAGCAAAAGCTATTGGAAAGTGTGCCAAAAATTTGATTCCTTTTAATGTAAACACTAGCAGTCTTTCCTTTATAATAAATAATAAACATTTACCAGAAATGTCTCTGACCTTTTTATGTGTGTTATGTATGCATATATGTGTGCTTTTAGCTTGTCATGTTCCAAACAGTATTGAAAAACAAAACATTAAATAAACTGACACATCTCAGCGAAACAGATCACCCCTGTGTGCAAATGGGATGGAGTTTTTTTTTTTTTTTTTTTTTTTTTTTTTCTCATCTGGCAGTGCGAGGATCTGTTTAAAGTATGTAACTTATAGGAACTAGTTCCTCGGATTCCCAACTCACAGCGCTCCAACACTATCTGAAGTTGTGATTGGATCTGATTCCAACGAGTCTTCATTATTCACTCTTTCAAATCTAGATAGTTCCTCAGATTCACTCTCTCAGCACTCCCACACTATTCGGAGTTGTGATTGGATCTGATTTCGATGAATCTTTATTTTTTGCTCTTTCAAATCTAGCTCCTGCAGAGTCTTGATTATTTGCTCTTTTTGTTTCCTCGAAGCTGTTCCTTTGCGTTCCATTTTGATTCTTTGAATACTGTGTATAGTATAGCTATGTATATTAGGCATTAACTTTTTTATACAATATTACTGTAATATTTATATAAAATAATAAATTACATTTTTATTTATTTACTTATTTTATTAACATCTTATGATCAAGAGCTGTGACTTTCTCTTTAATCTTTTTTAGAATTAATATAAACATAATTTTTTCTCATCTAATGCATTTTTTCAAGGTTGCAGAACAAAATATTTATCCTACCGAACAGAACAACTTCAAGCGATATTTGGTATCATTTTGTCAAATTAAATAGAAAAAAAAAAAAAGGAAAATGCCGGTATTGTCAACAGAAAATTTCCTTTTCTTCGGGATATGCTTCCAATCTAAAAATTAATTTTTACCCTGTAGTAGCAACAAAAATCAATTATAGTAATAAAATAATGCAATCTGTAAGGAACATGAGTTTAGTTTTCATTACTTTTTAACATTTAGCAATTTTTTTATTCCAGAATTTTATTGTTTATTTGCATATCACTTTTGATCCACACCTGTTCCAAACACATTCATCAAGGTTATTGTTAGTGAGTGGTAAATCGTTAAAAAGAACAGATTAACTTCAGCGAGAGAAAGGTTCCGATCTGATCCCTTGAAGGAGTGGTTTTGCCCATCTCTGCTACTTGCCTTCTCCTCTGAAGAAGTAAATTAAGATGACAAATGTCCACTGGCTGCTATAACAGCTGCCATTTATTATCACTTATTATTACCTCATAATTTCACAAAGCCCAACCATAAAAACGAGGTCCACACTATAATGCCTCCACTTCTAAATTTCAGGCTCATTCATAACTATAACTTACTGTGATTTATCACTCTGTAACATGCTGCCATCTGTCTAGTAACTTTTGTCACTATGCATAATTTAAAGAAAATGGTAAAAACTCCCGATTTTGAAATGCTAGAAAATTATTTACTTTCTAAGGAACTGAAAACTGTGTTTATAGGCATAAATTCTTTACTCCCATTGCTGCTAAAAGCTGAAAGATTTCAAAAAGTAATAATTGCTTATAAAACTGAAAAGTATTTAATAAATTTTGCCATACAAAATTTGCTCTAAACATATAAAACCTAACTCAGGTGATATAATGCAATAATTTAATCTTGAAGCTCTAAGAGATCAGGATAAATATTGTTTACAAGTGACCAGTCATATATACTGAAACCATCTTCATTTGATTCAGAGAAAACAAATTTTTTTCTTGCAGTTGACAATACATAATTTTTTAATTCCCTCTTTCATTCTGAGTATCTACTAGATATTTAACATGGTTATTATAATCAAATATATTTCCTTAAAAATAACAAAACAAAGAAACATATGATAGAAGAACTATATCACACTGCTTTGGAAAGGAGAGGTGAACATCCCTTTATGTTTTAAACACAAACGTTGTTACTTTTCAAAAAATCTGATGTGTACAGCACATGACTTCCTTGTACGAAATAATAAATTATACGCATTTTTTCTTGCATTTCATTTAAACTTATTAGATTGAATTAAACATACTTCGCCGACAGCGCATAAACCACAATAGAATAAATGCATTCTTTAAAATTCACTTTGTTTACCACAGCGACACTCTGGCGCTAGGTTTACTTAACAGTATTATATTTCTTTCATATTATAACTCAGAATGCACAAAATTTATATCATTTGAAGAATTCTCTAATCGTTGCCACATGTTCTATTCAAATACTATAACAAAGCTACGAGGGCCATCCAGGAAGTAGATTACGTTTCCGTCTGTGTCCGCTAGGGGCGGGGCTAGCGCGACCATCTTGGGGTCAGAGCGTTGCGCAGCTCAGTCTGCATCTAGCCGTGCTAGTGAGAGGTTCGTGCTGTGCTCCGTTCAGATACTGTGACGGTTTGAAATGTCTGCGTTAATTGAAAATCCCGCGAGCTGCGAGGTGCGCTCAGTAATAAGGTTTCTGACTGCAAAAAACTGTAAACCGATAGAAATCTATCGGCAGCTTCGTGAAGTGTATGGGGACAACATTATCACTGAAGGTGGAGTGCGTCAGTGGGTCATAAGATTTCAAAATGGCCGAACCAATGTTCACGACGAAGATCGAAGTGGGAGACCCAGCATAGTGACCGCCGAACTTCTCGAAAAAGTCGATGCTAAAGTCCGTGAAAATCGAAATTTCACAATAACGGAACTTTCTTTGAGTTTTCCACAAATTTCGCGAAGTTTGTTGCACGAAATCATCAGCGAAAAGCTTGGTTACCACAAGTTTTGTGCAAGATGGAAGGCAAGAAGAGGTAACGAAGTGGTTGAAGGCGCAGGCGGCCGAATTTTTCGACGAAGGAATTTCCAAGCTCGTACATCGCTACGATAAATGCCTTAATTTGTATGGTGACTATGTAGAAAAGTAGTATTTGAGTGTGGCTTTCATCTGTATATAATAAAATTTGTTTCCTATACTTTGTTTATTTTTTTATTCCAAAACGTAATCTACTTTCTGGATAGCCCTCGTAGAACGATGTATAAAAGAAATTAAGCAAACAAAACGAAAAAGAAACAGTTTTTCACAGACAATTGAGTATTTCTCATTCAATTAATTCAGTTTTCACTTCGCGACAAGGCAAAAATACATAAAACTCAAAATATCTGTATTAAAAATTACAAAGTGAATTTTAAACGCTTATTTCCTAGAAAAATTCCAGAAAGGATTAAACATGATTTAAATAATAAATGAAGGCGTTATCTTTGTTATTGCGAAGCTAAGTTTCTCTAGATTGGCAACAAATCCGCTATCCTGCTGTTTCAAATGTAAGCAAGAGCAATGGCCGTCATCAAAATCTTTATTAAGCTTAGCGGCACTTAAACAATTTTAAAATTGTTGATAATTCGAAAAATATTGCATAGAGATTTACTAAAGGCATAAAAACATTAACCAGAAGATAAGAACAACATAATTCAATCATTTTTAAAGCAAAAAATGTACAATTTACAAACATATAAGAGTAAAGAAACTGAGATCACAGAGCCGGGTAACAGAGTGGATATATATATAAATAGATTTATATATGTTTGGTGCAGCCAATTGCAACCAAAATACGAGGTGCACATCTGCGTGTTATAGCAGTCCTATATACAAAATTTCAATGTTCTGAGGCTACTCGTTTTTGAGTTATGCGAGATACGTACGTACGTACATACGTTCGTACAGACGCCACGAAAAATTCTCTTCAGAATTAATTTTAAAGCTGTTTTATAATTATTTTGGAGGAAAAGAGTGTTTTATTCTGTCCTTACATACAGATATCATGGAAATATATCGTTAAATTGCATTTGATAGAGGTCAAAATGGGATATTTTCATTGAAATATGCTGCCTGAAACCTTTCGCGATTACAATACTTCCTTTTTACTTCGTACAAGGAAGTAAAAAGAGAAAAATAAAGATGATAAAATAATAAAAAAATAAGTATGATAAAATGAATAGAGCACATTTTGGAAATCAAGAAATGAAAAATACCTTATTATTATAATTATTATTATTATTATTAAGGTTGCATGCACACATTGCACCTGTATTCTAAGGTAAGACTTTTCTCTACAGTAAATAGCAATTGTCTTCTTAAGGGACTCCCCAAATGTGGTTCACAAAAGTTAATATGTGATTCATATGCAGCTGCTTGACCATGAAGAACCATCTGCTGTTGTCACTCCAATATAGAATTCTCAACCAACTGCTACAATGCAGATATAGCACCTGCAAGCATTATGAAATTTGTTTCAAATTGTTTTTGTGACTAGACACAGAACAACCAGGTCACAGCTTTTTGTACCATAGACAATTTGTATTTTCTTAATAAACCTATATGTTTCTATTTCCTTAATAATCATTTATAATATAAAAGGGTATATGAATGAAAATGAAAATTCTATGTATATATTTTGAAACTGTCACATTTAATCACATTACTGAATACAGTGAATCTGTATATTCTACACTTCCATGGCAAACTTTTGTGAACTCCTACATAATCTTGTCATAATTGTATAAGCTTGTCCTGTTTCATATATGTAGGCACATCCACTGCTTTACAGGGGTTGACACTTTTGATCATATACTGTATCTAAAGAAAACACTTCTAAAGTTTTAAAGAGATCACAGAAAATTTTTTTTAAAATTATTATAAAATGACAAAATATAAAAGATAATGAACAGAAAGTGAAAAGATTGTACTGTAGCTTATCAAAATGCAAAATCACCTAAGCTATAAACATGAAATTACAATTAACAATAAGGCTCATTATCATTACATTTAATAATAAGGTACAGAATTTTCAAAAAATTAAATAAATTCTGAAAGCATAATATTTTTTTTTTTTTTTTTTTTTTTCTCAAAAATGCTCACCTTTTCTGACTTTTACAATATAAGAAGTTATTTGGCTTCACATCTCGATGAATGATGCCATGAGCATGTATTTTAGATAATGCAATAAAAAGGTTTCGCATGTAATCTCTAATATCATTGACAGTCAATAGGCGAAAATAATCCTAAAAATAAAACAAATACTCAACATCATTTTCACTTTTCCCAACAAGATATTCCAAAATTTTAAAGAGGGAGGGGGGACTGTATCTAAACAATTCTCCACTTTTAAATGTATATTTGAATATTTTTTGGCATTTTCTGATTATCTATATCACCACCACTGAAAAGCTGCAAACTTTTTGCCAACTTTGAAAAGCATTTGTAAACTTACTGGCAACTAATGTTTTGCCGAGCTAATGCATTAAAGGCAATTGCCATTTTCAAAACGATCGCAGGCGAAAAATTCCATACAAGTGTGTTTATTGATTCCATTCAATCAATCAGTAAAATTAAAAAAACAAAAAACATTAGGAATAAAACACCTACATTTTTCAAGAAATCCTTCTTTTTTATGCTGTTGCCCTCCCTATGTACACAGCCATCTATCTTCGCTTTAAAAAAAACATAACTGCTAAAACTTGGCATTGTACAACATTAGTATTGCACACTGGCCAAAACAGTTACATGCTATGTACACGTCTTTGTTGCTACGTAAATACATTTTGGTGACACTGCGGGTTGCCAGATAACTATTTTGATGACATAACTATTTGGGTTCCTGAGGTGTTTTGCCTTCAGGAATACATTTTTCCCACTTTTCAGTGGGGAACTTTCAGGGATGGATAAGACTTTTCAGGGGTGGATAATCAGACAGTACCTATTTTCATTACAAATCTTAAGTACAATTGTTTATATGTATGTAATAAAAATTATTTCCAATGGTAGATGATGCAGATACATGATTATGGAAATTATCAGTCATCATAGTGGCTGATTTAACACTTTTTTTATAATTGAGAAATACATTCTTAATGACTTACATAGAGTAATGGGTGCTCTGCACACTCATTTTTTTTATCAAATCTGTGCCTTTTCTGCATCTTTACAACAATTAATTTCGATGGAAAGAACAGCAGAGATTGACGAAAAGTTAGCAGGAGCAAAGCGAGAGAAAGAATATGCAGTTTCCAAATGATGGTTTTACACAGTTAGAATTTCAGTTTGTTTTGATTGATTGTTCAAATTTACAAAATTTAAAATTAATATTGCTGAAGTATTAAGTATCTGCATCATTAGAATTATGTAAGAAGGATCAATCTTGAAATAGTGTGGAGTACAGAGATGTGCTATAACTATTTTTAGGACAAGAAGGGGAAATTACATAATTAAAAAGAATTTGAGGAGCTACTGCAAAGTTAAGTTTGTATTTTATCTTATCGATCTTTTTATTTTACATATATGTGCTTTCCAGTTTATAAGCAAAATTATCTATAAAATTAAAACTTATGAATTTTGATATGTGCATTCTCAATACTATTTCAATCACACACATAAAAACTTAATGAATAAAAACATAACATACTAAATTCTGAAACTGGCAGCCATAAATATACAAGGTAGCTTCAAAAATGTTCCTGAAATTTATTTTAGAAAAGCAGCCCACAGTAAAATGACTTTCATTTCCTACAAAATAATTCTTTCTATAGTACACATTTTTACCCATGTTCAACAAACTGATGCTTTATGATGTGTCACAGTTAAGATGAAACGCTGATCTATAAACTGCTTCCTGTTCAATTTGGATTACAAGTAAAAAAATAAGAATCAATTCAAGATAAACCAAGAAAACATGCGATATGTTCTAACATTGCAAATTTTACCCTCAGTACTTTTCCAGACACTGTTCCTACTCCATGTGGTACATTTTAATGCAAAATACAAATCATAAGAAAATTGATGTTTTGAGATTAAGAAAATAATGATACAAGAATAATGTCATTAACATTTCCAAATTCTAATCATACATAATATAATAATTCCACAAAATTTTTAAAGTCTTTTTGTACATTTAAAACAGCAGAACTACAAACACATATCTACATAAACAGAAAACTAGTAAGGAATACAAGTAATTTTTAAATCACTGCAATTGCATATCAGTTTGTCAAAAATTAATTAATTTGGATTAATCAGACAAAATTTTAAGGAGAGGAATCATACTCACAGAAAATCGTTGATGTGGATAATATGGCATTACAATTACTACATGTCCATCATTCATAATGCAAAATTCAATGCCAACAATATTATTTGATCCCCTATAATTTAAACACAGACATTACTATAAAAAAAAAATATAGACATAAAAAAATTGCTTCTATTTTAAAAGTATATCATAACAATACTTTTTTTACAAATACAATTTTTATTCTCATTTAATTTTAGAAGACTGGCAAAAAGAAAAATATCTATAACATAGATATTTTTAAACACAGTTTAAATATAAAGCATAAATTTTAAAGTTTATTTTTTGAAAAATATTTTCAGAGAACAGTCTAAGAGTAACCAAATGCAATGCATATTTCTGATCCTGCATACTGATTTAATAAAACAATAAACAAATTATGTGAACAGCTTCAACTGCCAAATTTTGTTTAAAGAAGGCAAAAGAATAATTTTTCTCCTCATATTATGTGGAAATTCTATAAATTCAATGTGACATCAAAAATTAAAGCAATGGATTGACATGGACTAAAGAAAACATATAAAAATGATATTAAATAAATAAACCATATTAATTAATAAAATGGGTATTTAATAATATAACAATTAAAAAACTCCAACATACTGTTGCGTGTGTATAAGTTTGTAATAAACTGAATACACACAGTGAGCTATAATCCACTCTGTTTTACCAAAAGTACCAATGCACAATTCTGGAACTTTCCACAAAAACAGTTGTACAATTCTTCACAGTATCACAGAGTACAATCAGTAGTTATACTTCAAATTATTAAGAAAGTTAAAAACAAAGCAATGCAAAGTGTATTTAAAAGGCAAAGCTTTCACGGATATCTCAATACTCTGAAGTTGCTTTGAACTCATAATTGAGAAACTGATATTCTCTCTGGTCATATATAGTTTTCACTCAAATGTCAAGATATTTCTAGTACTTTCTGCTCCTTGAAATTACTGGAAGACATATGAGGGCTGAATACAGTTACATCTACATAGAAGATCAATTACAGTTATACAATTACATTACCTTTTACCTTTATCTAGGAACCGGATCAAAATGTCGCCAAGTTTGACGAATTTTGGCAATTTCTCACCACATTTGGCAACAAAAATTAGTCATCAAAACCATCACCAACTTTGTGATGTCTTGCGAATTTAGGCCCACCAGCGGCGGAGCGGTAAAATTGCTGAACACTGGTAGTTCGGTCCGAGGTTCAAATACCGCGAACGGGCTGGCTGCATGGGCGTTTTCGTGGTTTTCCCCATGTGTAACGTGTATACGAGCCAGTTTCCCTTAGAAAGTCATCCACGAAGGCATCTCTCCTCTTAGGCAGATAGCCTTAGTGTGCTTTGCCGTATTCTCAATACAATACATCAATACACCTTGCGAATTTAGCAAGATAGCCATTTACTCAATGTTAAATAAACGTGCCCTCGTATTCTTATTTTTTCGGCAGAGCATGGTTTCTTTAAATTTTCCTGTTATATTATACAGAAAAACCTACAAGAATTTCTTACACAACTGCATTAAAATCATCTATGCACAAAATTCATAAAATTGTCCCCTTCCCAAGGACTGCACATTCTAGGCAGTACAGTCCCTTGACAGGAAGCCATATTAAGGCAAATTAATGCAATACTTAAACAATAATTACAATAAATGATATAAAACAAATCAAATCTTAACCCAAAAAAAAATGTATTAATTTACAAACTGATGTACAAATTGGACCATAGTCTTTGAATACTATTTACATTACAGGACACTAAGGGTATTACGAATTATGGCCATTATAAGGGGCAAGCCTATAAATGACTTGAGGCTTAGAATTTGATGATTTACGGATCAATCTACAACTTCGTTCAGCTTGTTTAGGACTATGTAAGGACCATCCCCAGTGACTGTAGTTTAAGACAGAATCCTTTCCGTTGAATCGGATTTCATAACCACACCTTGTAATCTTTGTTGAACTGATGTCCTGTAGTTCTTGTCTTGTATCGAACCTTCATCTTCTCCATCGCCAAGCTAATTCGCTCTTGCACAAAACTATGCATCACTTCAAACCATGCCTGGAGATTCTGGATGTACTCCTCAGGCAATGAAGGCACATTCGGAGGGCAAACAAAGAAGAGATCACAAGGCACACGAAGGTCATGACCAATGATCATCTGGGATGGGGTATAGCCAGTCATCTCATGAACAGTACTGTGACAGGCCAGTAGAAACAGAGATAACTTTTTGTCCCAGACCTACTGGTTTCTGAAAACCACCTGCAAGAGGTTATTAGGCTGGTTTGATTAAGCCTCTCCATCATGCCGCCTGGTTGGGGATGTAAAGGTGTTGCTTGGGTATTTTTCGATGGCAAGTAGCTTGCAAAGTTCTTTAATGAACTTCTTTCCTTGATTGTTTTGAATATGGAGTGAGTTCTAGTGAGCCCAATCTTGTTTTGTCATAGGACTACTGATCAAAATGACCTGCCAGTTAGGTTTCCTGTTTTAAGACTCTATTAAATCAATTATGGTTTTAATGTTGCAATTTCCTAACAAGTCCTACCTGATTTCATCGCCACTTCATGGGTCTGGATCAAACAATGTTGAATTTGTAACTTGATGTACGACCAGACTAAGCTGGTCATGTTTCACTTTGGAACAATATCGGCAGCTTTCTGTGCACGGTCTTCTGGCGAGAGCATCAGTGTTTCCGTGCAATGACACTTTCCTATGATGGGTAGTTATGTCCTATTCCTGGAGTCTCTGTATATATCGGGCTGGGACTGTTGAAATTTAAGAGCGAGGACAATGATGCATGATCTTGTGCAGAGCTGGAATTTTCTGCCGTATAGAAAATGATAGAAACGTTCTATGGCTTTAAATATGGTGAGCACTGACACTGTAATTCCTCTTCAGTTTAGATAGATACTTGCTCCAGTATGCTATGACATATTCTTGATTGTTTATTTCTTAGTACAAAACAGCACCGATACTCTCGTTACTCGCATCTCTGTCAAAAATAAATGGTTTTTCGAGCTAAGGATAAGTCAGAACCATCACAGATATTAAAGCTTCCTTCAATTTGTTAAATGCATCCTCACAATTCTTTTGTCCATGAGAACTTCTGGTTGATATCTGACAGTTTATGAAAGGATCTTGCGATGGAAGAAAACTTCACAAATCTCCTATAGCAGGTGGAAAGACACAGAAAACATCTTAGCTGATGGACATATTTGGGGTATCTCCAGTCTTTACCTGCAAACACTTTTTCTGGATCCACAAATACAACTTTGGCAGAGATGACATGTCCGAGGTGCATCACTTTCCTGGCCTCACAGGCTTCATAGAAAATTACCTCTCAACACGGTCTTCATGAGGCATTCAAATGCTGCAAATGCATTACATTGTTCAAAGGGCAGCACCTTGAACTACCGAAGTCCTTATCTGGTAGCAAAAGCTATCATTTCTCAGTCATTCAATTGTACCTTTACCTGCCAATATCCACTCTTTAAAACAAGTGTTGAAAACCACTTGCTTCCAGAAAGTGTCCAAAATGTTATCAATTCTGGGAACACAGTAGCTGTCTTTCTTTGTAACCTCTTTCAACCGATGATAGTCAACAGAAAATCCAGTTGAATCATCTTTCTTTTTGACCAGGATGATGAGAGATCCCTATGGACTTGCTGAAGGCTTGATAATGCCACTTTTTTACATGTCCCTTAGAAGTTTTCCTACCTTTTCCTGTTTAGCAATCAGTAGACATCTTGAATGTTGCTTGATTGGTAGATGATCCCTGGTATTAATTTTATGCTGTATCAAACAGGTTCAACCTACGTCTGTTAAGTCCTTCTGAAGCCAGATGGCGCTGCCATCGTTACTGTTTACAAAAAGAATGTGAATTACTTTGGAGTTGGCTTCAATGGCGAAGCAGAGAGTGATTGTGGGAGCCTGAGCGTCTCTCAAAAATTAGTATAATAAAGATAAAGATATGTTACAAAGTAGTTTGAAAATTAGTTTAATTGAGAGTTACAGTCCACTTAAAAATCGCCGGACCATTTGAGTGGTCCAGTAGAGCCGCAGAGATATCAGCTAAATAAATAATCTAGTGTAAAACAGTGAGTTTGCCATTTTGTTTCAATGGAATTTGTGTTTGTGGATTATAGCCAGTTGCTGAAAGAAAAGGGGTAAGTAAAAAACCCTTGAAACTCTATTTGTTATTAACTGTTGCGTTTAGTAAATTCTGAATTAAAGTTTGTGTGATAATTTATTTATTATGGATAAGTATAGCGAAAATGGCTAACGAAAACTGAAAGATGTTCTCACTAAAAAGAGAACTACAAAAAACTATCTTATTAAATTAGCAAAAGAAACTTTGTGAGCCAGATTTAAGTGTTAGTGATTTAGAATTGCTAAAAACTAAATTTAACAATCTGCAAAATGAATTCAATAATATTTTGATTCTATTATCAATTTAAGTAGTGAAGAAAATATCGAAAAATCTTCAGTGAGCAAGATGAAATCAATAGTAGTATTATGATATAGAATTTGAAATAATAATAGATTGTCGAATGTTGCTAAAGAAATAAAGTAGAAAATGCAGTAATTTCTGAAAATACTGTTGTGCATTTACCTAAGATTTCGTTACCCAACATTTTCAGGAGAAATGCATTCTTGGCTTTCCTTTAAGGACATTTTTAAAGCGAGTATTGATCAAAACCCAAATTTATCAATGCTGTAAAATTGCAATATTTGAAATCAGCACTGAAGGAGATGCATTTAGAATTATCCACACGATAGCTATAACGGATAATAATTATAAGTTAGCGTGGTCTCTCCTTGAAGAAAGATACTCGAATCCTAGAGAACAAGTGTATGCTCATCTTAAAAGATTTATGAGTATTCCCGTTATTCAAAACGAGTCAGCTTCTGCGATTCTAAATTTAATTGATGTTACAAGTGAAGTTGCAAGATCGTTAGAATGTTTAGAACAAAAGTTAGATGGGGTTTCATCCGCTATATTTGCCTTTATTCTTAGCCGGAAGTTGATCAGAATACTAAGTTATTGTGGGAAAGGAATTTAAAGAAAGAA